CCGCTAAGAATATAATTCTTGCATAAAAAATCAAAATGCTTCCACGCTTCAATCACGAGAAAGTGTTCATTCNCTACAAGAAGAGCAATTATATATATACCCACCAAAAATCTCTTCCTCTTCCAATATGGGATAATCTCTCATTGTCAAGAGAGGGAAACTTAAAATTTTACTCAAAGATTTCATTTTCCCTCCATTTCCCATTCACCCTCATTTTAAGACTATTTCATCTTAAAAAAAAATAAAAAACTCAACAGGATCATTGCCATAATGATTCGGAGAAGATCACTAATAATTTATGTGAAGAGATTTCATCCAAAAAATTCAATATGCATGGCAGATATTTATACAGGATGGTGAAGGAGTGCCAGAGATTATATTGCCAAAATATGAATTTTATTTTTTCTGGGGTTACTAACTATGATGAGTATCCACAAATATTTTGTGTGAGCAAGTTTTATTGCACTGACGTATTCCCTCATGTTGTTATGTCATTAATTTTGTGAATTTGCATCAGAGGATAAAATTGTATGGCTTGAAAGGTCGGAAGTCAATATATATCTTTAATAAAGCAATTTAATTTTTATAATTATAATATTTAAACTAACACACCATATTACGGATTTTCAATCCATCTAAAAGAAGTGCAACCGCTGGATATATGTTTTACTAGATGAGGAGATGAGATACCTACAATTAAAAAGACTTATGCTAGATGAGGAGACGGGTACGTATTTTACCTGAATATGATCCTGGATTATGTCTTATTAATAAATAAATTTAGCTAATTGATTAAAGTAACAAAATCTAGCAAACTTCTCTAAAATTGTTATTTTTCAAGGTTGGCATATAGCTTGAAACTATGTATTAGGTGGGATTTTTTTTCATGTTAATTATTCACATGTTAATATAGGGACCGCTAGGTTTGTTAGGTTATTTTTCAGTCCTTTATTTTTATTGATTAAAAATAAGTCAAAGTCAATCGCAATCGGATAAAATATGCCCTTCCATCATATGAACTCTAACACATTCCCTTATTCCACTAAATCTCCTTTGCTTTTCATAATTGAACTTATGTTTCAAAAAAAAAAAAAACTAATGTTTCCAGTTACATGTAACTTGATCTCCTTTTATTTTTTCTATTAGAACTATATTATTCAATGCATATAAACGTATTGCACGAATCTATTTAGAGAAAGGAGGAGAGGAAGACACTATTCCACATTCTTCATCATAAAAATTTGAAGGAGTTTTAGTTTTAAGTTGTGTTGTTTTAGAAAAAAGTAACAAAATTCGGCAAACTTCTCCAAAATTATTATTAGTTCTATTATTTTTTTCTTCTTTGTATTGAACATTGTTTTCATTTAGGATTGTATATAAGGATCAAAGGGTTGAACAGTTTGAACCTTTGAGACTTTGAGCTTTACGATAAATTCAAGATGTATACTCATTCAATAATTCATAAAAAAATCAAAATAGAAAAGGATTAGAGATTTATCAATGTTGTGCCATTCCAGTAGATTTTCAATATTCATCACATGTTATTATTAACGTACAACGCACGTAAATATAAACTAGTATATTAAAAATTATGGTATCGTTAATGCCATAATTTATTATGTATAAGAATAATGATGTATATGTGTATTAATTATACATGGATTGAAAAATACTATAAAATAAGATATTAATAATAACAAAGCTAATACATATATTACATTCTCTAATACATCTTACCAAACGACCGCATAGTGTTCGTATAAATTTTACTCTAGTTTTTTTTAACGACATTAACTCCATTAATTCAAATTTACAGGAGCTCATTTTTAAGGTCTAAACGTTACTCTAATTTTTAACTTGTGAGGTTTTACCCTCAGCTTCTGAAATACGCTCAACATTTTTTATTACAGCAGAGAAAGGGGAAATTCAATTGATATCGTTGATTAAGAATATATTGATTTGAACTCGCAATAAAATGATTTGAATTATAGCTCTTAAGCTACATAGATGTCTTTGCAGAATTGCTCATAGACTCTTTTAACTTATAAATTAGGAAGTGGATATTTTAAGCTTTCTGCACATGAGAGCACATTATACTTCGATAAAAAAATATACTTTATTAGAACGAATTATTTGCTAAAAAAAAATAAAATTTAAACCTCATATAAAAGTGCCCCTTTTATATTCGCCCCCTTCTAATTTATAAGTTTGCATTTAAGTAAACTTGTAATTTAACATATTTAACGTATAAGCATCTTAGACACACTGGCCAAACATAGAGTGAACACATAACATCTCTCCTTCCATCTGTTAGAATTTAAACTTAATAAGTTCGGTCTTTAAAGTTTTTAATATTAAACTTACAATACCTTTGAAATTATGAATTTAGAATCTAATGTTGCCTAAATTTTTGTGAATTTTCACACATATCTTCGAATAAGTGGGTTTGATTGAACTAGTAGCTCAAACGCTACCTCAGCCACCACTTAAAATAAACCCAAAGAAAAGAAAAAAATTGGAAAATTTTGGAAACCATATCCCATCATGATCATTTCATTTGATACGATTTGAAACATGAAATTTAAATATGATACTTAAATTTAGCTCATAGCATGTAGATATTGTAAAGATTTAGTTTGATAGAAATTCATTACTTCCTCCTTCCTAGTTTGTGTGGCACCGCTTGACTAAGCACGAAGTTTAAAAATACAAAGAAAACTTTTGAAGTTGTGGTTTGAAATAAGTCATAGAGATTATGTGGTTTATAAATCATCTCATTAAGGGTAAAAAGAGAATTTTAAAGTTCAATTATTTCTAAATATAGTAAGATGATATTGTTTTTGGGACAAACTAAAAAAAAAAAAGGAGTACCATATAAATTGTGACGGATGTAATATACACATAATTTTATTTAGTAAGGCAATATAATATATCTCAAATTACTTAGTTTATATCAAACAAATACTATGGAATTCCAAAATGAATGGCTGAATGTGGTACTAGCGTTTGGCAATTAGAACTGACAAGTGGAACTGGATTGGCCCAACAAGCAGAAGTTCTACAGGCTTTATTGCCTCATAAGCCCATTCCAGTGACATAGAACCGAAGTAGCGGTTGCAAAAGCTGCTTATAAATAAGAATTTTCATATATGACTATTGTTTAGTGGCTATTAACTTTCTATAGCTACCATATACATAATTACTTCCGGTAGCTATCTTTCAGTTGTTATGATAATGTATTCGATGTATTCGAGCTATTGTATTCATGAATACAGTAGCAAAAATCGGCTAAAAAACAGGGCAATCCAGCTGTCAGCCGCTGTATTCACATGTATTTGTGCCATGTATTCATGAATACAGTAGCAAAAATCGGCTAAAAAACAGGGCAATCCAGCTGTCAGCCGCTGTATTCACATGTATTTGTGCCATGTATTCATGAATACAGTAACGACAATCAACATAATAATAGGTCTCTCCAGTTGTTTAATAACGAAAAGCTGCTAATTTAGCGGGATACACTCCTAATGTAACTCACCTAAATCAATTATAACATACAACATTATCAATCCAATTAATGAGAAGATTTATCAGACACTAAACACCAAAAAATAAAGCATTCTTCAGAGTTTCAGTCCCTCTTTTTTTTTCTGATACAATTCGAGTTTTTTTTCCTGACATTATTCGATGTTCTGCTCGGAATTGATACAAGTATCTACAGAAATATTTTGAAATTCGATTTTCTGTATATGAATACATCATGTGTTTATGCCAGATATAACCTGTAATAGTAACCTACTGCCTGCATATTTCATAATAAACCTAGTGCTTGTATTCTGTTGTATCTAACAATTGTGTTCAATGTATTCAAGTTTATTTTGTATTCACAATATTTTATTTATTTCTAATACATGGTATTACTGCTTTATTGAGTATATTTCATTAGTTGTATTCATTGATTTTGTATTTGTATCGAGAGTATTTTACTGTATTTCAAAAAATAATTTTATTCACTTTTTATATTATGTTTAATAAATACCTGTTTGAATTCAATGTTTAATAAATATTGTATTTCACTGTATTTTATTTATTCCTAATATATGGTATTACTGCTTTATTGAGTATATTTCATTAGTTGTATTCATTGATTTTGCATTTGTATTGAGAGTATTTTACTGTATTTTACAAATAATTTTACTATAATTTTATTCACTTTGTAATAAATATAGTGTAAACCTTTGTTATAGGAGGTAAAATTTCCTAAAAAATAAATTGAATGTATTCCGAGTGACCGTTGCATTAAGACAAGAAGACGTTCATGTATTCAAAATTTAAAAAGTTGCGTAAAACCATGATCAATTCAGTAATAAGCTGAAAATACAATCCGTATAACAGAAAACTATTCTAAAACTTTCTTCACAGAAGTATTCGATTATGTGATTTGCCTAATAATCTTTGCATGTGCTTCATTGTCGCTTATCACATCGACGTCTAACTTTCCGCATAGCATAGTCCCAAAGGAGGGAACCATATCTTTGACGGAGTAAATTAATTAGCATCAAAGGTTGTTTGTGGAACCAATCCATAAGTGCTCAAATACTCTGCATATGCTGCGATATACAAACCACAATCCCTGAAAAAGTAGATTGACAACAGTTAAATACAATGTGTGTGTATATATATATATATATATATAAAAGCTTTTCTTTGAGGTCGGAGATTATGTCGGTGTTAGTATAGGAACCGATATGCGGCGATAAAATAGGCGGGTGTTTAACAAAGAGTATTATTTCCTGCATTAAAAAAAAAAATTAAAAAGATAAAATATACGGTTGAAAATATAGATGAATACAATTAGGATGAATACATAACTCATTCGTGAATACAACATAGTACACTAATAATTATAATAAAAATTGTGAGTTATGGCAATAACTGTTATTTTAAATACAGATGGATATAGTTAGGTTGAATATATAGATGAATATATTTAGATTGAATGCATAACTAATTGATGGATAACATCAAAATGATAGAACTAACAATGTATTTAAAAATGTTGTTGTATGAACTCAAATACATATAAATACATCTAAATGCAACAGTCAAAAATCACTGTACAAAAACAAATCAGTGTATGCCTTATCGAATACATATAAATACAAGAAGAGAAAACCATTGTACAAATTTAAAATCAATGTATGCGGACTCGAATACGTATAAATACATCTACAATTACCTTGTCATTCTGTATTTCCGACCTCTCTTCCCTAGCTCCCAGAAGCATCATCCATAAGTTTTCTTCTCTTTTCCACATCAGGAAGTGTTGATTTTTTCGATGATTTCTCATCTTGACCTTGTTTCATAGGGTCATTGCATATTTTTGTTTTCCTTTCAGCTTCAATGGTTGCTGATGAACCTGTAAATACAAGTTCCTCTGATGTGATTTGCAAATCGAAAAATGATCCTTCGAAATTGAGCGCTTTAGTGGGTATACCTCGGGTAATCCTTTTCCGAATTGTTGAATCAGCCATTGAAGAGAAAATTTTAAGTATTCCGCAGAAACCCTAACAATGGTGAATATTTTAAAAAAACTGTTGAAAAGAAAAAGAAGAAGCTTTAACCGGTCTAAAACCCAAAAACATTAATACTTACCACAACTTTATGGAGAAAACAAAGTTGAAAATTGAGAGAGACAATGGCGTTGTGAGAGAACTATAAAGCTTGGGGAAGACAATGGGGAGAATCGTGGTTCATCAATATGGAAGACAAACTTGCTATGAGAGAGAGATCATGGAGAGAGAAATTAGATATACTGTGTGGTGATTTTGGGGGAGAATAACTGAAAGAATGAGAGAGAAAAATATTAGACAACGTATTTGATGCCTTAACGGTAGTGTATACCATAAATACATATTTTGCTATAAAAAATAAAAGGTAGCTATAGAAAATAATATTTTAAAAATATTTTTATTTATAATAAATATGGTGTAAACCTTTGCTATATGAGGTAAAATTTCCTATAAATAACAATAGAAAAACTATACAATATAGTTGTCCTAAATAATTATGGTACAATATATGTTTTGTATACCATGGTGGTCTAGCAAACTTGTGCGCGTCTCGACTAATTTCATGACGTATCTGCTTTTTTGCATCATTTTTCCTCATGAGTTTCAAGCAACATTGCATCAAAACTATTGATTTAATTGGTTAAATTAGGATCAAATAATATGTCAGTTGTCAGATTGACTATGTCAGTGAATTATCGTTGAATTATATGTAGGTGCATGTCAATAGGTAGATAAAAAAGACCAGATCTCAATTAAATTTGATCAAGAGTCAAGGATTTCTTTTCCACATTCACTTGAAAGGTGAAAACAAAAGCATTTTGTAACTTGAAATTCAAACAGGTGACTATATAAATTTTTTTTTAAAAAAGGCAAATAGATCTAGAAACAAAAATAGTTTCTGGCAACGTAACACTACTTTTCCAAACAGATTATTGCCTAATTAAACTTAATCATGATTATGCTTAAGGGTAAATTTGGGCATATGTTGAGCTGTTACTAGAACTTGTCTCCTCAAGATCAGGATCTGAACTCTTCATTATAATTACTCTTCGCTTTCGCCAATCAGTTTGCGCATTCAGTGCAGGGAAAGTAGGCATGAATTCTTTAGACTTGGGTAGAGGAACTTCACGAAACCAATCATGGTTCAATGCAGCATCAGCTGTTATTCTCTTCTCAGGATCATACGTTACAAGCCTATTCAACAAATCAAATCCAGCATCAGATAATAAAGGTAACCCCGTAAAGGACGTCGCAGGGAATTTTTTACGTAACAAATTTTCCTGATATTGTTTTGCAAAGTTGACCACTTTCATCCCAACCCCAGTTAGTTTTGAAAATCCAGGCCAAGTTGTCTCATTTGGGGTGCCAAGAATTTTGCAAATGTAGTAAATTTGTCCAGCTAATGATCCTGATCCGTTAAAGAGCGGTTCATTGGATAGCAACTCGGCCATAATACAACCCACGGACCACATGTCCATTGCAGTAGAATAATGTACTTTGGCTCCCAACAGAAGTTCAGGCGCACTGTACAGTAGGTTTCCATAATATTGACGAGCTAAACCAGAGTGAAGAATCTTTAATTCACCTCGGCTGTTTAGAAGCAAATTTGAAGTCTTCAGGTAACGGTGAAGGAGTGAATTATCATGAAGATTCTTGACACCCTCCAAAAGCTGGAGCATAAGACATTTGATTTCACTTGGACTAAATGGTTGTTTCATTGTCATTATTAATTCCTTCAAATCATATTCCATGTATTCGATCGCCATAAGAATGAATGTCAAGACTGCTTCCTACTATTTGAAAGGGATTTAAATACGCTGGGTATTTAGAAAAAATCTTGCAAATTAAAGAGAGGAGGTAGGAGACTTTTTTATTTACTAATAATCGCAATACCACCACCCTTATTTATAAGAGAGTACAAAACCTAGTTTGACTAGAAATTGGAAAACCTAATTCCTATAATTTTGATTACAAATCCTATTTAGACATGGATTGAAGAAATTAACAATTTTCAAATCCTAGACAATTTAGGATTGCTAATTAATCTAGGTTTAATTCCACTACTCCATATTTTTAAAAACTGTTTACGGATAACAATAGAAAAACTAACAGCAATTTAAGCTGATAAAGAAGAGTAGTCTCTCCAGTGATTTAACTAGTTTCTTCTCATCATATTTCCTTATGACACTACTAGAATAATGGTAAAACCCGTTCACAGAATACTGACCGAAATCGATTGAAAAATAAGTAAATTGATCGCAAAAGTCAAAGAAAATATTTCCGACAACCAAAATAGTAGTTCCACAACAAAGATATAAGAATTCCGACCGATGTTTGTCGGAAATTGGTCAATCTTTGACCAAGACCTGGTCATACTGACATATATCTACCAAAATAATTTTTAATTAAAACTTTTCAAATATACCGACCGAAATCGGTCGGTATATTTAAAATNCCGAAGTCGGTCGGTTTTAGTCAATTTATATAAATAGCTTTTAAATAAATAATATTTAATACTTGTGTGTGTGTATGTTTTTTTTTAAATTACTTTTATATGGATTCTACCGCATATACGGGAGGATCTGCTGAGGCAGTGGACCACCGAAAAATTCAAAAAGAGGAGTGAACAGGGAAAGAAGGCCTGGGCATCTGAAAAGGGTGGCTCCTTGCACTGTGTGGGTGCAAGGAGCATGGGGACTGCGAGGAGTCAACTGGTAATTCCTTAAAATATTTACATCTATTTTTATCGAACTATATTTATATATTTTAATTTAGTTAACATGTTTTATTATATTTATAGGAAAAAAATATGGGAGGAAGATGACTCATGATGAGTTCTTCATGGAGACTCACATCCGGAAGAAGAAGGCACCGACAGATCCAAGTAGATAGGTCGAGGACCGGGCGGAGACTACATATGTAAGTTTCACAACTACTATAACTTGAAATTAATGTTTATAATATTATATAGTTAATAATTTTCTATCTTCTAAATAAAGGGTCGCTACAAGACTAATATGGAGGAGTACACTCAGAGTTTTCCACCGAATGAGCAAAGCGTGAGAGATCATTTCGACGCTACAGGGATGGATTGCAAGGTATATGGATTTCTGCCTAGGGCGAGAAAATTGATAGGTCGACTCTCTCATCTATGGAGAAGAAGATCGCAAAGCTGACAGCAGAGCTTGAAGAGACAAAGGCTAGAGAATAAAAGAGAGATAAACAATTTGATACCCTTCAAGTTTAGCTGGAAAAGAGGGACCAACAATTTAATATCCTTCAAGGTCAGCTAGCCAATCTTCTTGCTAGTGGTGCTTTCCCCATTCCCCGGTCTCGTGACCCTTCCCCAGATGCTAATCCTTCGAACCATGCCGTCGATGAATGCTATAGTAGTGGAGATGAAGATGATGTAGTACAAAACACTCATTGAATAATGTTTGAACTTTTAACTTGTGAAATATTTTGTTGTTGGGTATGATATTTTGTTAATATAAATTAGTGGAGATGGAGATGGTGATAATGTTTTGTTAATATAGTTTTAATAGTTGTTATTGTTGTTGTTATTGTTGTTCTTGTTATTGGTTGAATGACAACAATGTAATGCTGCCATTATATGTGATTGGTTGTTGGCAGGTGGTGCAGCTATAAAACAGCTATATTCTGCCAAAATATTACCCAGAAAATCGACCGACTTCGGTCGGAAATGTTCATCTGATTTTCCAGAAAATCAAATTTACCAATCGACTTCGGTCGGACTATTTGATTTTAAATTTTAATTATTTAAATAATACTGGCCGATTTCAGTCGGAATTAACAATTTTAAATAAAAATAAATAATTATATATTTAAAAATATTGACCGATTTCGGTCGGAATTGAATAATTAAAATTTCGATCGAATTCGATCGGTATTTTTAAAATAATTAAAAAATATTTTCAACAATACCGGCCGAATTCGGTCGGTAACTTTTTTTTTTTTGTGTCATACAATTTGATCAAAGTGCATTGACAGTTACCGACCGACTTCGATCGGAAAATATCGACCATCTGCGGTCGCTCTCTGTTTGCGACCATTGTTTTATCGACTAATTGAAAACGGTTGAAAATCGGTCAATTCTTTATGGATTCCGATCGATTTCGGTCGGTTTTTGTGGACGCTTTTTGGCAATTTTTTAATAGTGTGAATTTTAAGTAACATTTCATCATAATGGGGCTTTTTGACTTGGGCTTCTTCAGGCGAATAATGGGCCTCAAAACCAAAATTCTCCATATGGCTTAGCTAGGCCTAAAATCATTAAAATTGGGTGGCTAACCAACTTTTACCGGTATTTAAAGTTTAGTCGCCGTTTGAAATATAATTGAAAATAATTTTTTTTAATAAAATAAGTAAATTTGGATAAAATATTTCTAACTAAAATATAAAAAAACCCTAACACAATATACTAAAGTTCAAAGATTTTACAAGCGAAAGTTCCTTGAAAATGAGAGGGAGGTTCGATAAATTCAGGTGGCAAGGAAACCGGGAGGTTCGATAAATTCAGGTGGCAAGGAAACCGGATGGCAGGCCATTTTTGGGATAACTATGTTGTGTCTTCGCTACATTATTGTGGAGTGGTGAGATGGTGCACTGATTTAGCTTCTTCCAATTAAATGATTTAAGTTATATGTATTTACAGTGTATTTTTTTTTTAATTTAATTAAACAGATACTATAAGATAATTATAAACAAATCTTAATACTCTAATATAAATGGTAACGAACTTGCTATTATAGAGTAAACTATATTGATATTGCAAAAGCCGTGACATTGATATTGTCAATACATATAATTCAAATCCTATTTGAATTTAACATATATACAGTAGGGGTCTTCATAACCTAGAAAAGACACTAGAAGTTATAACAAGAAGCAAGAAAGAGCTCATGGATCAAATGCTGCAAATTCCTCCACAAGTTTCAAGCTTCAAGCAATCAAGTTCAAGCTCAAGAACGAAGAACAAATCAAGATTCAAGGAGCATGAGTTCAAATCAAAGTTCGTGCTAGTTGAATTCAAGATCATCGTTCGTGACAACAAATATAGGTTCAAGATCAAGCTCAAAGGCCCTTGAATTTATATTGGGAAAGAAGAATCAGAGGATTCATAGAGATTGTGCACTCATCAAATACTACGATTGTTGCAATATTTTCGATCTTGATTTTATTTTCTCGACGCAAATTTATTGTCTACAAATTCTGGCACGCCTAGTGGGACAATCTCTACCTCTCATTTCAACTTTTCAATCACCAAAGTTCAAGAATATTGAAATGGCTTCAAAGAAAATCAACTCCAGTTCAACTTCCACTAAGGCTGTTAATTCCAGGTTCTATGCTGATGTGGAAAGCATCCTCGATGTTACCTTTGGAAGCTTTGGACCAGTTACGAGGAGCAAAGCAAGCTCGTTAAGGCAACAAGCACCCCAAATGACGTCCGCATCAACCCCTGTTTTCGGATCTTCATCCTCAAAAGGAACAAGATCTTCCACAAATGCACCGGAAGGAGGAAGCGATGTTACTGAAAAGATCAAGAAAACTCTTGCTCTGCTTGACCTCTCCGGATCCAATAACTCTGTTGTGAAGGAATATGATGATGCTTCAAGTGATGGATCCTCTCCACGTACAGTGCATAGCGTGAGCCAATCAAGGATCAATCTGTGTGACAATCCATGCTATTCTCCATCATCCACAACCATCAGGCAAGCCATGATGGCAAACACTTCATCTGTGGAGGAGCAGTTGGCAAACTTGACGGAAGCAATCGCTGGCTTGACCAAATGCATGAAAAATCAAGATGCTAGAATTGACAAGTGAACAGGCAGGGTGGGAATCTTGATGGAAGAAGAATCCACCGATGCACCTGGCAAGCTCCCAGAGGTTCCGGAGAGTAATTCTCCACCAAGACAAGTAGCATCCGCTAAGGCTATCTCTATCTCATCTAAAGGGATGATTCCAATCGATCAACTGAAAGAGTTCATTGAAGGAACTATTAAAAGCAAGTACGAAGTTGTTACCAAGTCCTCTCTTACATACGCAAAGCCATATACTGCGATGATCGATATGTTGAAGATGTATGTTGGCTATCAACCTCCAAAGTTTCAACAGTTTGATGAAAAAGGCAACACAAAGCAACATGTGGCACACTTCGTTAAGACATGCAACAATGCTGGGACTTATGGAGATTACCTCGTCAAGCAGTTTGTCCGCTCATTAAAAGAAAATGCTTTTGATTGGTACACAGACCTCGAGGCTGGATCTGTTGATAGTTGGGATCAACTAGAGAAAGAGTTCCTCAATCACTTTTATAGCACAAGGCGCACTGTGAGCATGGTGGAACTTACAAATACTCGTCAACGGAAGGGCGAACCAGTTATTGACTTTATCAATCGTTAGAGGAATGCAAGCCTCAACTGCAAAGACAAACTTAGTGAAGCTTCTGGCATAAAAATGTGCATCCAAGGCATGCATTGGGGACTGCGCTACTGATGAATATAAATTATTCATATGTTATATACTTAAAAATATACTATTTTAAAAAGTATTTATATAATATTTAGATTCTCTGTATTTTCTAACAATGTTTTGCAGGAGATAAGAATACTATTAATAAAGTAAGAAAATGAAAGAAACGAGAAGGTTATAACAAATTTAATTTACAACGCAAGAAGGTTATGACACATCTTCTTCAAGACGCATCTTTTTCAAGACACATCTTCTTCAAGATGCATCTTCCCCGGGACACAT